TTTGTTTCGTGTGTAAGTAATAGAAAAGTGTTGAAAATATTAGTTTGTGGGGACGACGAGTTGCTCAGTTATTGAATAAATAATGTAATGTAAAAAAGGTTAAATATATATTTTTTTGCATGAGGAACATTTTACGGTTTGATAATTTTCCTACGAATTATCACTCTTTTATTTATTAATACATTTTAATTTTTAATGCTCCAAAATAAATATAACCCGTGCATTGCACGGGTTACGGACTAGTATATGAAAGAGGATGGTAAATAAATCATTAGTGGAAAGTTGATAAAAAGTGGGCCAAATCCTTTAACTTACTACTTATAGAAAATCAGTTCAAAATTCAAAGTTTACATTCGTTGTACAATTTACGCATGTAATGTATTTTGGAAATAAATCGAGATTTTCCTCTTTTATAGGCATGTCCTTTGGAAGTAAATCTACTTTGGAAATTTAAATATATTTGTGGCTTATATTTTTATTTGGAATGAATTTTGTCATATTATATTGTTTTTAGATTTAACTTTACGTTTATCGAGAGTTCCCAATTGTCTTTATTAATGTTCTTTTTAAATCAATATTCATTATCGATTAAGAAATATGTATATAATTTTTTTAAATCAATATGCATTGAAATATTCTTCACAAACATTATTGCTTTCAATTATGTAATTAATATATAATCGGAATTTCTGGTTTAATTAAATAATTTTGAATCTTTTGAAATATGATTTTAAATGTGTAGAATCCTAAATATGCATATGTATAATTAAATATGTAAATATGTGGGAAATACATTGAAATTCTTTAACTAAGAAACTGATAAGGGGAAAATATACATTTATTATACGACACATGGCTCGAGAGAATAAAGACACGTGTGATCGGAGAACCGTTAGAGTCCAAGATTAAGGCCGAAGCCCGACCTCAATTCAGACTCAAGGTCCCAAAGAGCTTTACTCTGATCCCAATGTCCTGAGGAGAATTACTATAGGCCCAAGGTCCAGAGGAGCTTTACTTTGGGCCCAAAGTCTGGGGTCAGCCCACGAAGCTTATGGGCAAGGGAGTCCTCCGCACATGAAGGGAGACCTAGGTCGTCTGACTCCTATAAAAGGGCGACCTAGGTCAAGGTAAGGGATATTCTCAACTCTCCAAACTCTCTCTCTTCTACTGATTCCGCAGCCACCACCCCAAAAAACCTAATACCGATTCTAACTTAGGAATCGGAGGGTCTACCCCTGGGGACAACCCCGGGGTTCTGTTTTGCAGGCATCGGAGCAAAGGAGACGAGTACAGGAAGACGTCGGAGCATACATCAATCGTCGCCACGTGTCCTCTGACTAACGTCAGGTAATTCTTGTATCATCAATTGGCGTCGTCTGTGAGACCCGACGACTTAGGAAGAGGATTCATGGCGATACGGAAGAGAGGTGAAACCAGTCGAAGGACGCGAGGCGCTTCACGACATGATCAATCCCAAGAAAGTGAATCAAACTCTCAGGCAAACCCTAGCCCAAGCCAAAGTTCACAAAATCCGGCGACCTCGGAGACCGAGGCCGAACGACTGCAGAGGGTCGAAAAAGAACTCCTTGAACTGAAGACCCTAATGAAGGGTATGATGGAAATATAAGCATCCCTAGGTCGAAAGGATCAAGAAGCCAGCCATGGCGAAGGTTCTAAAGCCCCCAACGACGAAACCGAGGTCAGATCCAAAAGAGACCTCGGGAGAGAAAATTTCACACCTGAGGATGGCGACCTTAAGCAAAAGCTTGAGGAGATGAGTGAAAGGCTCGGAGTGGTGTGGAAAGAAGTCAGAAAGCCGACGTCGGATATTTTCTCACCCACCGAGTCCACTTTTGTTGATAGCATCATGAAAGAGGAAATTCCCTCTAGCTTCAAGATGCCTCAGATGGAGAATTATGATGGAACCTCGGACTCTAGTGACCACCTTGAGAATTTCCAAGTTCTCATGATACTTCATGGGGAGACCGACGCCATCAAATGTCGAGTGTTCTCGGCCACGCTAAGAAAGAGCGCCAGAGTTTGGTTCTCTTCGCTTTCAGCAGCCTCTATCTATACTTTCAAACAATTGGCACAAGAATTTCTCAACCACTTTGTTAGCAGCAAACGGTACAAGAAAGCTTCCGCCCACCTTATGGGCGTTTGTCAGAGGTCGAATGAGACGCTAAGGGAGTTTACCCAACGTTTTAACAGAGAGGCACTAGAGATTGAGGAATTGGACCTGTCTGTGGCCTTAGCCGCACTCATGAATGGGTTCGAAAGTCCTCAAGGTTTACTTTCTCTTTGGCGAAAAAACCACCGCTATCCCTCCCTGAACTCTTCAGTAGAACCGAAAAGTACATCAAAACTGAGGAGATGTCTAGAACGGAGGATGAGCATGAGACCTGTGATATAAAGAGGATGAGGGACTCTGGTGATGATAATGGCGGAAAGAGGAAAAAAGTATGGGATAGGCTGTCTGTCACGACCAACTCATTGAAGGATCAGTCCAATCTCCCGAGGTTTGAAAGGTATGCTCCTTTGCGTGCTACAAAGAATGAAATCTTGATGTATATTCGAGATAAGGACTATGTCAGGTGGCCAACCAAGATGAGAACCCCGGCAAACAAAAGAAGTCGGGACAAGTATTGTCGTTTTCACAGAGACCACGGTCACGATATCGAGGACTGTGAGACACTGAAAAATGAGATTGAGGACTTGATACGCAGAGGATACCTTATAAAATTTGTGGGAAAAGACAGAAGCAGCCCTCAACCTCGGCGAAGACACTCAAAAGATCAAAGTCGTAGTCCTAGGAGGGGTAATCCTAGGGCCCGAAGTCTGAGGAGGGACAACACTCAAGTTGCTGGGGTCATAGCTGTCATCGCCGGAGGACCATCCGGCGGAGAAAGCAATTCTGCTCGCAAAGCATATGCAAGGAAACCTCGAACAAGTGAGCCGCAAGAAAAAAGGGCTCATAGGGAGACACAAATAACCTTTACAGAGGAAGACACGGGTAACATTCTAACTCCTCATGATGATCCCATGGTTGTTACACTTACGATCGGGAATTACGGGGTCAAAAGGGTGTTGGTGGATAGTGGCAGCTCGGCTGATATCATATTCTATGATACATTTGAGAAGATGAAAATTGGTCGTGAACGACTAAGGCCAGTCAAAACTCCACTCATGGGGTTCACAGGTGAAACCGTGGAGCCGGAGGGAATTATAACTCTTTCGTTAACTACAGGGGACTCACCCCAGTAGACCACGGTCATGATGGATTTCTTAGTTGTGAAGGTCCCCTCCAGTTACAATGTCATCTTTGGACGACCAGGGTTGAACAAGATGAAGGCCATAGTCTCTACATATCACATGCTTATGAAGTTCCCAACCGAGAATGGCATCGGAAAAGTTCGTGGAGACCAAGAGGTAGCTAGACAATGTTATGTAGCCTCACTCAAAGGTTAAGAAAAGAACTCAGAGGCTCTGACCATAGAGAGCTTAGATCCGAAGGACGAGGTTAAGAAAGCAGGAGAGCCAGTAGAGACCTTAGTCTCAATTGAGCTTTATGAAAGGGACAATGATAAGGTCGTGCGAATAGGGTCCTCATTGCCCGAGGACCTTAAGGCAAAGCTTGTCCAATTCTTGAGAGAAAATGTTGAATTCCTTGCTTGGAGTCCATTTGACATGCCGGGAATTGACCCTGAGGTCATAGTCCACTGACTAAATGTGGACCCTAGCTTTAGGCCGATTCAACAGGAGAAAATAAGTGTTGCCCCGGATAGGATCCAAGCATTCAACGGAGAGGTGGACAAACTCTTAGATGCTGATTACATAAGGGAGGTAGATTATCCCGAGTGATTGTCCAACATTGTCTTGGTTCTGAAAACAAGTGGCAATTGGAGGATGTGCATAGACTTTACAAGTCTAAACAAGGTGTGTCCCAAGGACAGCTTTTCTCTATCGAGGATAGACCAATTGGTAGACGCCACCGCCGGATGTGAATTCCTCAGCTTCATGGATGCATTTCAGGGGTACCATCAGATAAGGATGCACCCAGAAGATGAAGCCAAAACTTCTTTTGTCACCGACCGAGTCTGAAGAACGCGGGGGCTACATACCAGAGACTAGTGAACAAGATCTTTAAAAACCAGATTGGTAGAAACATTAAAGTGTACGTTGACGACATGCTAGCAAAGAGCCCACGTGCGGAGGACCACATAGCTAACTTAGAGGAGACCTTCGCAGTGTTGAAGCATTACAAGATGAAGCTCAACCTCAACAAATGCGCTTTTGGGGTGACCTCGGGAAAGTTTCTTGGATACATGGTTACCCAACGAGGAATCGAGGCGAACCCTGAGAAAATCAAAGCATTGTTGGACATGAATCCTCCTAAGTCAGTGAAAGAAGTTCAGAGGCTCACCGGGAGACTAGCAGCACTTAGTCGTTTCTTGTCAAAGTCTGCAGAAAAGAGTCTACCATTTTTTAAAGTGCTAAGGAAGGCAAATATGTTCTCTTGGACAGAAGACTGTCAGAGAGCGTTCAAGGATCTAAAATCTTACTTGGGTTCTCCACCACTTTTGACAAAGCCACAACAAGGAGAGGTTTTATACTTATACCTGGGAGTGTCGGATGCGGCTGTGAGCTCGGTGTTAATCCGAGAAGAAGATGGAGTCTAAATGCCAATTTATTATGTGAGTCGAGTCCTAGGAGGCGCAGAGCTTCGCTATCCTAAGATCGAAAAGTTGGGATTGGCCTTGGTTATCTCAGCTCGTAAGTTGAGACCGTATTTCCAAGCACATTGGTGGTTGTACTCACAGACCAACCGTTGAGACAAATTCTACAGAGGCCGGAAGCATCTGGGAGGCTGATGAAGTGGTGCGTTGAGCTTAGCGAATTTGATGTTCAGTTTCAACCGAGGACGGCTATTAAGGCCCAGACCTTGGCGGATTTTGTAGTAGAGTGTACTACGAGAGAAGAGCATACTCCTCTGGTAACAGAGGTCGTGCCAAACATCGGAGATCCCGTGGAAGGCTGTTGGACCTTGTATGTGGACGGATCATCAAATCAAAATGGGAGTGGGGCTAGATTGACCTTAACTAGCCCAGAAGGTCATGTTTTTAATTACGCTCTAAGGTTCGAGTTCAAGGCCTCAAACAATGAGGCTTATTATGAGGCTCTCATAACCGGACTAAAGATGGCGTTGGAGCTGGGCTCCCGACGTGTGCAATGCCATAGTGACTCACAGTTGGTCGTATGTCAAAGTCGTGGAGACTATGAGGCAAAGGATCTCATGATTGTCAAGTACGAAACTAAGGTGAAATACTTGGTCTCTTTATTTGAGTATTGTGGGGTTCAGCAAGTCGTAAGGACAGAAAACACCAAGGCAGACGCACTGTCTAATCTCGCAACATCGCCTTATCACGAGCTCATCAAAACCGTACCTGTGGAAGTCCTTCCTCACCGCAGTATAGAAGAAGAGCAAGTGATGAGTCTTGACCAAGGACTCATTTGGGTTGATCCTATTGTGGACTACATCAAAGATGGAAAGTTGCATGATGACCAACGAGAGGCGAAGAAAATCATTCAACGCTCAGCCCGGTATTCGATCATAGGCAACCACTTGTACAAGAGGTCGTACAGCATGCCATACCTTAGATGCCTTAGGCCATATGAGGCTAATTATGCATTAAGAGAGGTGCACGAAGGAGTCTGCGGAAATCACTTGGGGGGCAGGTCTTTAGCCCAAGTCATCATCAGACAAGGGTATTACTGGCCTACCCTGAGAGAAGACGCAATGAACTTCGTCAAGAGATGCGAAAAATGTCAAAGGCATGCGAACATCCTCTATTCTCCAGCTGTTCCCATGTCCTCAGTCTTCACCCCTTGGCCATTTGCAATATGGGGCATGGACATTTTGGGACCTTTTCCACAGGCCACTGGGCAAAGGAAGTTTCTGATCGTGGGCATTGACTATTTTACAAAATGGGTCGAAGCAGAACATTTGGCTCATATCACTGAGAAACAGATCCAAGGTTTCACGTGAAAGTCCATTGTGTGCCGTTTTGGAGTCCCAAAAGCACTCATCACTGACAATGGAAAGCAGTTTGATAACCAACGTTTCCGAGAGTTTTGCGGTTTGTCTATAGACCTCAGGACAACCTCGGTAACATACCCTCAGTCCAACGACCAGGCAGAGGTCACAAACAGGACTATCTTGCAAGCCTTAAAAACAAGACTTGATGAGGCTAAGGGTTTATGGGCTGATATTCTTCCAGAAGTGCTGTAGGATTACCGTACGACTCCTCGGACGGCCACAGGAGAAAGCCCATTTAGCATGACGTTCGGATCAGAGGCGGTCATACCCGTAGAGATCGGAATCCCAAGTCCCAGGGTGGAAACCTTTGAAGTGGAGAAAAATGCAGAAGGTCTGAGGTGTAACCTTGATCTGATCGAGGAGCACAGAGATCGGGCAAGGATCAGGATGGCTGCATATCAGCAGAGGGTGGCCAAGTATTACAACAGTCATGTTCGGTCACGCTACTATCGACCAGGAGAGCTTGTCCTCAGAAAAGCTCAGTTCAACTACCAGGAAAGGCACAACAAGTTATCTCCAAACTGGGACGGCCCTCACCGTGTATGAGCAGCGGTGAAAGAAGGCACTTATAAGTTGGAGGACTTAGACGGAAAGCCTATACCAAGGTCCTGGAATGCAGAACATTTGCGCAAGTACTATCATTAGTCGTTTTATGTTAAGTTATTTCCCCTATTTCTAGCGTAGGACTTGCAAGTTGAGACTTCGTACTCATACCATTTCAATAAAAGTTGCACTTTGTTTTGATTTCCGACATTGTTAGAACAAACGGTAGAATTTCAATGGACGACCATTGCCACTACCTCCATTGATAGAATTGCAGTGGACGACCATTGCCACTACCTCCATTGATAGAATTGCAGTGGACAACCATTGTCGCTATCAAAGTTAAAAAGGATTGCAGTAGAGAACTATTGCCCCTGCTACTGGTCCTCGGTTGCAGCTTCAAAACGCTAGTCACTCGGTAGAATGATCTACTTTAAGAATAGTGAAAGAGCACCCAAGGCTAGAATTGGGACTACCCAGTTCTTAGAAGACAAAAGATTAAATCAAAACAACGTTACATAAGCTGGGAATTCAAAAGACCAAGGTCTACAATCACAAAAAAAAAAAAAAAGCACAAGTCCAGAAGCGACAACAAAACAAACAAAGTCCTAAAATCATCAACAATCAAACATCTCTAGAAGCTGAGCGGTCGGCATCCTCCTCACCTGTCATGGGACAGACTCGGGAACAAGACGACTGAGTTCAAAGGAAGGATCAAGGGTGCCAACGAGCTGCCTGCAGGCGTCGAACCCGTCGAGCCAATAGTCCGAGTTCACCTCAGCAGCGTCCTCGGCCTTCTTGTTGGCATCCTCCGCCTTCTTGTTAGCCTCTTCAAGGCTCGAGTCCATCCCCTTGATCCTCAGATCGAGCTTCTCAACGAGAGCCTTAGGCGCGTCATCTTAGTATGATGTCGTTCGCTCTCCTCCTCAGCCTTCGCCTGAGAGGCCTCGCTACGCGCTAGCAAGTCCTTCAACTCAAGGATCCTCCGGCTCCCATAGGCAATCTTGTCAGCATGCCCTGGTGAGTGCGAAGAAGCTGAAAGACATAGAAAAAGTTTAGAAAAACTTTGGAGGCAACATGGGAAGAACTAACATACGAATAACAGAAGTTATGGTTATCTTGGCCAAGTACTCGTAGCCGTCATCAGACAGCCCCTCAGACGTCGCGACTTGGAGGCCCTCCCTATCTCTGCGGCGTAACATGTGGCTCATTATCTCCACAGCGGTGCTGCGGTCCGACAGACTGTCGTTGACATTAACATTCCACTTCGGAATGAACTTATCTGACAGACCAGAGAAATGGTCAAAGCCTCCGTCGGTGAACATCTAGGAACCTCCAGTCCCGCTACCCTCTCCAATGAAAATGTCAACCTCAGGAGCTGGAGTCACTGGAGGAGGAGTAGGCCCCAAAATAAGAGGTCGTGGCACCCTCTTTGGGGGGACCCCAGACTCCTGCCTCTGGGCGGCATCAGCCACGACCTTGCTCCTGTTCACCCTAAGCCTGATCTTCTTAGCTTTGTGCACCTCTATACCTAAACAAAGAACGAAAGAGACGGGTAAATAAAAAGATATAAATAATAAGAGTGCATACAATATTTATTAAAGACTATGGTTTGTTCGTACTAAGGTCGACAATTGTAGTCGGTGGAGCATGGCTCAAGCGAGCCGAAATCAAGTTCTTCTCCTTTAGTAAAAGGGTTAAGCTCGCGTGACCTTTGAGATAAAGAGCCAACTTAGCCTTTTCCTCATCGTGAGAGAGCTCGGACTCTAAGGGCCGACAGACATCGTCACTCCACTCAGAAGGAAAGTTCCAAGAATCACCCGAATAAACGTAGAAGAACTTAGACCTCCAATATTTCGTGTCTTTGGAAGAATCTACAAAGAGTATAGAACATGACCTCGACACAACATAGAAGAGACCTTCGGAACTAGGGTGGTTCTGGAGTCGGTAAATGGAACTGAAGACTCTGGCGTTCGTGGGTATGGGCACTGAAGCCCCGAGTAGGACAAACCCCACGATAATCATCCAAGCGTTGGGATTTAGCTGAGCGGGAGAAATGTTGTAAAAATTCAAGATCTCAACGATGGTCGGATGTAGAGGGAACCGTAAACCGCACTTGAACATGTCTTCGTAAAGACATAGCCATCCAGGGGGAGTTTCGCCAAAGCTTCCTTCATCGGGCTCCGGAATATAAAAATTCCAAGTGTCAGGAATATAATGTTTGGCATAGAACCTACAGATGTCATCCTCTATGAGTTTGGACACCGACCCATCAATATACGCACTAGCTTTGTGCCTACGTCCGTGGGGTCTTCGGGCTAGGATTTCGTCATCACTAGACTCGTTAAAGTCCATGGATATTTTCAAACCTGAAAATGCAACCAAGGACATAAGAGAACGCGGGGGAATACAAGAAAAACGAGACGAGGTGACATAGGAGTCCTCGGGATATCATTCGAACCTCGGTGATGAATAAAACCAAAATAAAAAGGTATGTTAATGTTTTCATGCTAAGAGAAAAGGCAAGAGTGTTAATCCTTGGACTACATGAAGATGGAGTCATATACCTAAGGTTATGCAAACCTTGGAGTATGCCCAAGGAAATATTATCTGCTAGCAAACTAGTACCAAAAAAAAAAAAAAAGGCCTTACCTCTTATGAGCCTTCAGATGAAATGGTTGCAAGTGGAAAGTGGAGGATGCTT